TTATCCAGCTTTCTCTTCGTCTCACCAACTAGTCCCGGTGTCAAATCAAAATATCTCAGTTTCGCAATTTTCTTTTAGCTTGACTTTGCTTTTAACAAATTTTCACTTACAATCTTAAATATTACGTTTGTTGAATACATCGGTTGTTATATAATATATATTTATATATACACAATGATATATATATATATATATATATATATATATATATACACACATTTGATATCTTCTTTTATGCATCTAAGATATTTGTAATTGGAGAAATAACGCTTTCAGATATCGTGCTTCGTAAACCACCGTCCGTTTGCTTTGAGGTGAAACATTGAGCATGTCCTGTATATCGAACGGCTGATCTATCACTGTCATTATGTCTTTACCGTAAACTGAAATTTCGGGGAAAAAATGAGTAAGTTATGCGAATAGCGCGCGCATTGAATGCAAAATGTATATATACCCTCGCAATGTTCCAAAAACTGAATGCATTCTTGCAACGTAGGATCTTTCAGGACCACCAGCTGTTTCGCCAGTTGCTCCAGGAGTGATAAGAAGCATCTCTTCGCGTAGAACCAGGTATCGGTGCCGAGTTTTTTATTGTACGGCTCCAGACTCTTCATTACTCGAGATATGCCGAACTCATAATTACCCTTGGAACAGTACAGCGTTCCGATTACCAAGTTTACAATGCACAAATGAAAGAGTTTTTTATCGTGATCCTCGAACGACACCGCCTCCTCCTCCTTCTCGATCTTCTTCATTAGCTCCTCGGCCTCCGCGTTTTGCGAAGTCATAATATAGCTGACGCATAAGTTTGCGAGAACTATGGCGCTTACATCTAAAATCTGCAATAAGAAGCGTGCGAATAACAAATTAAAATCGCGGAAAAACTTGATGGAATTGTATTATATTTTTGTTCGCGCTAACATTGTCGAATCTCTTTTTGACGATCGGTTCGTAGAAACGGGTCGCGTCCTTGAATTTATTCTCTTGCATGAAAAGCGTGTGCGCTACATTTAATTTCCACACGTCGTTCTCGTTACAAAACTC